ACACCTGGCCATTATTACCTGTGCCATTATTACTGCCTATGCCATTTACTCCTCGCCATTATTGCCTGTGCCATTATTACTGCCTATGCCATTTCCACCTGGCCATTACCTGTGCCATTATTACTGCCTATGCCATTGCAACCTGGCCATTATTACCTGTACCATTATTACTGCCTATGCCATTTACACCTGACCATTATTACCTGTGTCATTATTACTGCCTATGCCATTTACATCTGGCCATCATTGCCTGTGCCATTATTTCTGCCTATGCCATTTCCACTTGACCATTATTACCTGTGCCATTATTACTGCCTATGCCATTTCCATCTGACCATTATTACCTGTGTCATTATTACTGTCTATGCCATTTACACCTGGCCATTATTGCCTGTGCCATTATTTCTGCCTATGCCATTTCCACTTGGCCATTATTGCCTGTGCCATTATTACTGCATATGCCATTTGCACTTGTCCATTATTACTGCATGTGTCATTATTACTGCCTATGCCATTTGCACTTGTCCATTATTACTGCATGTGCCATTATTACTGCCTATGCCATTTCCACCTTGCCATTATTGCCTCTGCCATTATTACTTCCTATGCCATTTCCACTTTGCCATTACTGCCTATGCCATTTCCACCTGGCCATTATTGCCTGTGCCATTATTACTGCCTATGCTATTTCCACCTGGCCATTATTGCCTGTGCCATTATTACTGCCTATGCCATTTCCACCTGGCCATTATTACCTGTGCCATTATTACTGCCTATGCCATTTCCACTTGGCTATTATTACCTGTGCCATTATTACTGCCTACATGTATGCCATTTCCACCTGGCCATTATTACTGCCTATGCCATTTCCACCTGGCCATTATTGTCTGTGCCATTATTACTGCCTATGCCATTTACACCTGGCCATTATTGCCTGTGCAATTATTTCTGCCTATGCCATTTCCACTTGGGCCATTATTGCCTGTGCCATTATTACTGCCTATGCCATTTGCACTTGTCCATTATTACTTGTGACATTATTACTGCCTATGCCATTTCCACTGTCTATGCCATTTCCACCTGGCCATTATTGCCTTTGCCATTATTACTGCCTATGCCATTTGCACCTGGCCATTATTGCCTGTGCCATTATTACTACCTATGCCATTTCCACCTGGCCATTATTACCTGTGCCATTATTACTGCCTATGCCATTTCCACTTGGCTATTATTACCTGTGCCATTATTACTGCCTACATGTATGCCATTTCCATCTGGCCATTATTACCTGTGCCATTATAACTGCCTATACCATTTCCACTTGGCCATTATTACCTGTGCCACTATTACTGCCTATGCCATTTCCACTTGTCCATTATTACTGCATGTGCCATTATTACTGCCTATGCCATTTGCACTTGTCCATTATTACTGCATGTGCCATTATTACTGCCTATGCCATTTCCACCTTGCCATTATTGCCTCTGCCATTATTACTGCCTATGCCATTTCCACTTTGCCATTACTGCCTATGCCATTTCCACCTGGCCATTATTGCCTGTGCCATTATTACTGCCTATGTTATTTCCACCTGGCCATTATTGCCTGTGCCATTATTACTGCCTCTGCCATTTCCACCTGGCCATTATTACCTGTGCCATTATTACTGCCTATGCCATTTCCACTTGGCTATTATTACCTGTGCCATTATTACTGCCTACATGTATGCCATTTCCACCTGGCCATTATTACTGCCTATGCCATTTCCACCTGGCCATTATTACTGCCTATGCCATTTACACCTGGCCATTATTGCCTGTGCCATTATTACTGCCTATGCCATTTGCACTTGTCCATTATTACTTGTGACATTATTACTGCCTATGCCATTTCCACTGTCTATGCCATTTCCACCTGGCCATTATTGCCTTTGCCATTATTACTGCCTATGCCATTTGCACCTGGCCATTATTGCCTGTGCCATTATTACTACCTATGCCATTTCCACCTGGCCATTATTACCTGTGCCATTATTACTGCCTATGCCATTTCCACTTGGCTATTATTACCTGTGCCATTATTACTACCTACATGTATGCCATTTCCACCTGGCCATTATTACCTGTGCCATTATAACTGCCTATGCCATTTCCACTTGGCCATTATTACCTGTGCCATTATTACTGCCTATGCCATTTCCACTTGTCCATTATTACCTGTGCCATTATTATTACCTGTGCCATTATTACTGCCTATGCCATTTCCACTTAGCTATTATAACTTCAACCATTATTACTGCCTATGCCATTTCCACTTAGCTATTATTACCTCAACCATTATTACTGCCTATGCCATTTCCACCTGGCCATTATTACCTGTGCCATTATTACTGCCTAGGCCATTTCCACTTGGCTATTATTACCTCAACCATTATTACTGCCTAGGCCATTTCAAAAACAAAAGATAGGTAATTTGCATAAATTAAAATTGTTTGTGAAGTTTGCCTCTTTTTAAATATGGTAAAATCTGTTGTGTTCTGGGTGCATCAATAATCTGTCAATTAAAAATGTATGTATGAATAAAAAGTATGAAAAGCTGTATTTGGTAATTCCTCATTATATACTTACCGTATTTACTCTATTAGAAGCACATCAGCAATAAAATCACATTTTGTTTTATACTGAGTCATTTATTTATTAATATTACCAATACCTAATCACATGTGCAACTGATAGAGCAATTACAGTGTATATATAATCCAACAATATTTCCACTTAGGATAACGTCTTGAATGACATGAGTGGTTTGGAGTTTTGTAACACTGAGCCATAGGCGAGAATTGATTCTATTCTGGCAGCGATCACAAGTGTCCGTTTATGTCAATTTAAAAGAAAACATTGTAGGATTATTATATATTTCAATGCATATTTTTTTACAGTTCAAAAAAGGGAAATGGCAGATTTTTTTTTTTGAGTGACTGAATAGTATTTGAAAAATAACCACATGAGCTTAGTATGTATCATGCCATTGGACAGTGTTCTATGCTTGTCCACTGATCTTACTAATGTCAAATCAGAGATCGTTTTACAGCACATTATCATGCAAGGACAATGTGATCGTTCTTGCATTCCCAGTAGCTAGGGATGTGAGAAATTCTTGATTAGTTTTCAAGCTTTGGTGTGTTCATGCATACATTGTACATCACAACTATTGTCAAGGTGAGGTCAATGGCATTCATATTAATTAGGTCATATTAATTGTCATAGCTCTTTTGACCATGGCAGGCATTATGACCAGTGTAAATAAAATGCTATTGTATTGTATTCTATTCTTATAATAAATGAAGCAACCCGTTTGCTTACAGAATTGTGGCCCTGTTTAGGTTAGTACTGGTAAGTGAAAAAAAAAATGGAAATTTACGAAGCTTCATTATTGACTTAGGAATGTTGTGATTGTATCTGCAATGCTTAATCATTCCATGCAAATACAAAATGAATGTTACTCAGAGAAGTTGTCCAGTTTTGAATACTGATTCTGTTTATACAACATACTGTATGACACCAGTTGACCTCTACAATAAAATAGCAAATTTCCGGTAGTAAAGATTTTAATGTTTCCATTTTAATGTACTGCATACTATAATAACAGGCTACAATCTCTCTTAATCATTTGAGGGTTGATTTTTCCCACCACTATTTGGATGCATTCCACATATTTTAATGTACATTGTATAATTTTTAACCAAATGGACATAATTTAACATTGTCCTCAGGTGTTGAAGTTTATCATATTACTGGTTGTCCGTTGGCATCCGTGTCAACTTTTCACTTTATTTTTCTTGAAAACTGAAAGTCTGATTGTGGTATGTACCATGGATAGACCTCTTAGATTTGTTCATTATGTCCTCAATTCTCGAGTTTTGATAAATATTTTTGTTATTTTTTGTAAAAATTATATTTTCGACTCCTCTTACATTGGTACATCAGGTGGATCTTATTTGTTAGCCACACTGTCTTTGAAAATGACACAGAGGTGCTGTTTATATATAGATAATTGACCATAGTATGTCTGTCATCCGTCCGTCCATCATCCCTCTTCCGTCAACAATTACATTTGTGCCTTCTTCCCAAAATCTACCAGGCCAATTGCTTTGATTCTTTAGTTACATTTGGTGGATGTCTGTAAGGTTTGTTCATTCCATAATGATATATTCAGTTCTCTATTTGGTGAAAAATATTATTTTCAACGTCAGATTTGTTCAGTTCTGGCAATATCTTAAATTCTCTATTTTCAGCTCCACTGTCATGATGTAGTTTATAAGATGACAGAGCAGAACTGAGCTGTTCAGCTGAGCTGTTATAGGGGATTGTTTGTCGTCCATCCGTCAGCAATTGCAAATATGTTTGTAATTTTTGATAAAAAATGCTATTTGCAACTTCTTGAAAACTATCAGCTCAATTGCTTTGATATGTGTTATATTTGAGTACATTGAGCGGACTCTATCAGATTTGTTCATTTTATAGGAATATCTTCAATTCTCTATTTTTAGCAAATATTTTTGCTATTCTTGTAAACTACCAGCTCGGTTGTTTGGGCTTACGAAATTGAGGCCCTGTTTAGGCTAGTAAAAAAAATAATAATGGAGATTTATTTGAAGGGCTGATTTTCAAATAATTTTACAAAGTTTTGTTTATTGCCTTTAGGAATGTATCAAAAGTTCCTTTTGTCATTTCAGAACGTTAATTTACAAACTCGCTCTGAAATCAAACTAAAAGCAGTTATTCTTTCCTCTTGCAGCCAACAGCAATATTATTTACCTGCATGGACAGCAGAATGTTGCCGACACGGTTCTGTCAGACCAATGTAGGAGATATGTTTATGGTACGAAATGCTGGAAATCTTATACCACATTCTGAGTTATTTTGCGGTGACAGTTTGAACACAGAACCAGCCGCTCTGGAATTGGCGTGCATAAAAAACGACATCAATCATGTCATAGTGTGCGGCCATTCAGATTGTAAGGTGAGTTGGCGTATGTCATTTAGAATAATTAAAGAAGTACCATGAAGTTTGTATTTATACGATTGTTGAATCACTGAATGCCATGGGTGCTTTTAGTAACATTACTGGAAACAGACAGGTTTGATTGTTGAAACAGAAATAAGCGACGAATCACAGGATTTATTCAAAACAACAAAAATATTCATTACACGTGTACTTCACAAATAAGCAAGAAAATCAACCTGACAGCTCAATCCCGAATTTCCCACTGACTCATTTCACCATCATTTCTTCAGTGGTACAAGGAGTGTCAAAGGCCAGGCATAGATATAGTTTGTTCCTGGCTCTTTATGGGAAAAAGACTTAAAAACTACTTGGAAACAAAACAGAAACAAACAAATGTATATACATGTTTATATGAAAAAACGAAGAACAAAATGTGATAATCGCAATAATTTGTCATCTGGGAAAATTTCACTGTGCTTGTTTAAGACAGGCAATCTCAATCTTGTCAAATATAGTTACTGCAATTTCATGTAGTCGCACAGTGAATGTTCGCGTTTTGTTTAAACAATGTATTTCGTGGACCCACATTGACACTATATAGTGTAACAACTGGCACTTTAAGTGATTGAATTGTGAACATTTCTAAGTGGTGATTATACAATGGATTTTGGGTAACAGGTTTACATCAGTTTGGAATCAGAAATCAGTGTACAATATAACAAGATGAGTTTAGTGTAGATATACATATATCCAGTAAGGTAAGCACTTGTCAGAAGTAATTATATTCAGAGAGGTTACAATGTATGGAATGGTGGATATGTACCATGCGGAGATGATGCGGCACTACACACAATACTGCAAAAAATTGGAATGTATGGATGTATAAATAACATCTTGGCATTACTTTAATCCTTATCAGATCAGGTCAGGTCAGGTTAATGTAAAAGTACAAGTACATGGGATAAGGGTTAAATGTGTCCATGAATACCAAGAAATTTAATGACATATCCCGTATTGGATTACAA